GTGTGTGTGTGTGTGTGTGTGTGTGTGTGTGTGTGTGTGTACACACACACACACACCCCAAAACCATGGACTCTGGAGCAATCCCAGCTCTGCTACTTGCCAGTCATGTAACCTTGGGGAAAGAACTATCCTATTTTTGCCTCAGTTTCTTTATCTGTAAAATGAGGATAAAATACTACTACCTCACTGGATTATGATTTTCTGAACGTTTAAATGAGTCTATATATGTAAAATGCTTTGAATTGTAAACATATATAAGGGTCAGCTGGTACTATTTTTATTTTTATTCTTCTTAGCCCTGGACTGTGGGTGTATGGGGAGAGTATTTCTGCCTCTAAGCAGTGGTCCAGCCTGCAATCTCTACTCTTTCCTGTTCTGGCAAGTGCTGGAGCCCATGCTTCAGCCTGAGAACAGGGAAGTCCCTAGGACCCCCAATTTCACCTGGCTGTGTCCAGAGAACCATTCCCCAGTTATAGCATGGGAGGCCTTGAGCCAGCCCAGCCCAAAGGAATGGATAGCATCCAGCTTGGAACCTCCTAGAAGCCAGAGGCCCCTCAGAGGCTGACTAATACAAGAGTCCTATTCCTCTCCCAGAGAGGGGCAGGCGCTTACCTCAGGTCTCTCTCGGTACCAGAGTCAAAGTAGTTTTCTCCTTCCCAGCCCATCCCATCCCTTTGCCCACCACCTCCTGCAGGGCCTGTTTCTGACATCTATGGTTCTAGAACAGCAGGCCCAGGGAGAACTACAAGAGACAAGGACTACTAGTTCACGGGTCTGTAGTGCAGTAGTGTGAGCTGTTGTGAGAGCATGAGCTCTGCAGCAATGGTGGAGGCCAAATTAAAGCTAGTAAGAGCTTGCTGAGGATGCTGCAAAGAGGATGGAGAAGACAGGAGGAAATTAGAGGGCCCTTTACAGGTCTAGGACTTCATTTGTGTGTCTTATAGATGTGTGGCTGGTCAGTGAGTAGGTGTGGGCCAGACAATGTGAGGCACTGATTTTCACTCTCATACCCACTCCAGGAGGCCTACTTCAAGAAGCACAAGCTCAACACAGTTCCAGGTGTCCAGCTCAGGAATGTGGACAGGTAGGGGCTGGCAACAGGGCAAGGGGTGGATATCTAGGAGATTTGGAGGCCAGTCCCTGAAAGTCCCTTCCAATCCCGGGCCTGTGTGTTTACTCCAGCCCTGCTGCTGCAGATTCCCATGTGACCCCTTGCCCTGCTCAGTGCTACCCATGGGACCTGAGGGCCTGCCCACTCCTCTGACCCATTTCTCCCTCCTCTTCAGTCTGAAGAAAGAAGCTTATGAAGTGGAAATTCACAGGCTGCTCAGGTATGGCCTACGACAATTGGGATGTGTAGCAGGGAGCAAGGAGTCAAATACTGGGGATCTTGGCCCCATAATTTGTAGGGCCCTGTGCAAAATGAAAATCAGGGCCCTTAGTTCAAACATTCTTAAGAACTTCAAGGTGGAAACAGCAGAGCATTCAACGAAGTACAAGGGCTTGTGGGACAAACCCATGAAGTGGGCCCTGTCTTGGCCATATTCTCCCACCCCCAACTGCAGTGAGGCTGAGGTTCTGGACCACAGCAAGAACCCTTGTGAAGATTCTTTCCTGCCAGACACAGAGGGCCACATTTACGTGGCCTTTATTCGAATGGAGAAAGATGATGACTTCACCACCTGGACCCAGCTTGCCAAGGTGCTCCAATACCATGCCCACCCTGGAGAACCCCTCCCCCTTACACACACTGCCCCAAGATCCAAGGAGCCTTTGCTCTGAAATCTTCAACCTCAGAACCTCCTCTTTCTACTCTTAGAACCCCTCTTCCAACCTCCTTGTCCAAATTTATATTCCAAAAGATGCTATCTCTTGCAAATTGCGGTAGCTTCTGAGGAGGGGTAGGGGCTGGGCCAAAGGGTCTTCAGTGGCCCCTCCCCATAGCTTTCTGACCCATGTCTCTGTCCCCATCCCACCCTTATCAGTGCCTCCATATCTGGGACCTGGATGTGCGTGGCAACCACCGGGGCCTGTGGAGATTGTTTCGGAAGAAGAACCACTTCCTGGTGGTGGGGGTCCCAGCTTCCCCCTACTCGTGAGTGACCCTTTTCTGCCCTGAGAAATGGGAGGCCTAGTGGGATCCAGGAATATAGCTAATGGCTTCTTCCCTATACATTCTTGTATTATTTTCCCAGAGTGAAGAAGCCACCCTCAGTCACCCCAATTTTCCTGGAGCCACCCCCCAAGGAGGAGGGAGCCCCAGGAGCCGCAGAACAAACATGAGACCTCCTCCAGGACCCTGCAGGGCTGGGTACTGTGTACCCCCAGGCAGGCTAGCCCTTCCCCCCATCCTGTAGGATTTTGTAGATGCTGGTAGGGGCTGCGGGCTACCTTGTTTTTAACATGAGACTTAATTACTAACTCCAAGCGGGGCCTCCCCTGCTCCAATACCCCTGTTCCTGAGTTAAAGGTCTATTTATTTACTTCCTTGTTGGAGAAGGGCAGGAGAGTACCTGGGAATCATTGCGATCCCTGGACAGCTGATCCTGCCCTTTGAATACCCTCACTTCCCAGGCCTGGCTCAGAATCTAACCTATTTATTGACTGTCCTGAGGGCCTTGAAAACAGGCGGAACCTGGAGGGCCTGGATTTCTTTTTGGGCTGGAATGCTGCCCTGAGGGTGGGGCTGGCTCTTACTCAGGAAACTGCTGTGCCCAACCCATGGACAGGCCCAGTTGGGGCCCTCATGCTGACACAGACTCACTCAGAGACCCTTAGACACTGGACCAGGCCTGCGCTCAGCCTCCTCTTTGTCCAGATTTCCAAAGTTGGATAAGTTGGTCATTGATTAAAAAAGGAGAAGCCGTCTGGTGATGTGTCTTGTGATTGTGATTTTGTGTGTGTGTGTGTGTGTGGGAGGGGTTGCTGGAGGGATGTGGTGGAGAGAATACTTGTGTTAGATGGTGAGTTTTCCTTACTGTTCTCCACAGAGTTTATCTTCCATTTGGAGCCATTTGGCCACCAGGGGATGCCCGAGTCTCAAACACCAAGGTTTTTCCCCAGCTCTACTCTAGGACAGCCTGACTTTAGCCCCACCCTACTTGAGGCTGAGCTTAGAGCAGCCACCCCACCTCTTCCCCACTGTTTAACTACCAGCCTGGTTCCTGCCTAGCTTGCCTGGGTTGGGCAGCTGTCCCCAGAGGTAGAGCAGAAGAGAACAAAAAGGAATTCTTGGGGGTTGGAAGAGGGAACGGAAGAGCAGGTGTGCCTAGTGGAGGTGGGAAGGAAGTGGATGGGACAGGACTGGGCGGGCATCATTCAAGAGACAGGCTAGGGTGCATATGGAGACCTAGGAGCAAGGGTGTCTATGGCCCTTAGAGCACTTTGGCATTCAGAATTCTCTATCCGGGCATTTTGTGGAGAAGAAGGTCAGATTCTCACACAGCCAATAACCCAAAGAGTTTAAGAAGATCTAAGTTAGTCACAGAGGCACCAGAAAGTGGATGGGATTGTCCAGAGGCAGTGAATGAGAAAGCCCACGGCAGGGAAAAGGACAATGAAAGAATCTGTGGGCCGGGCGCGGTGGCTCAAGCCTGTAATCCCAGCACTTTGGGAGGCCGAGGCCGGTGGATCACGAGGTCAAGAGATCGAGACCATCCTGGTCAACATGGTGAAACCCCGTCTCTACTAAAAATACAAAAAATTAGCTGGGCCCAGGAGGCGGAGGTTGCGGTGAGCCGAGATCGCGCCATTGCACTCCAGCCTGGGTAACAAGAGCGAAACTCCGTCTCAAAAAAAAAAAAAAAGAATCTGTGAAGGGCCTAGGGTCAGGAGGGTGAGTGCAGACCACCACTTAAGAAAGGGTCTGCCTGGCCGGGCGCAGTGGCTCACGCCTATAATCCCAGCACTTTGGGAGTCTGAGGTGGGTTTCACCATCTTGGCTAGGGTGGTCTCAAACTCCTGATCTCAAACAAGATCAGGAGTTTGAGACCACCCTAGCCAAGATGGTGAAACCTTGTCTCTCCTAAAAATACAAAAATTAGCTGGGTGTGGTGGAGTGCGTCTGTAGTCCCAGCTACTCGGGAGGCTGAGGCAGGAGAATTGCTTAAACCCAGGACAAGGAGGTTGTAGTGAGCCAGGATTGCGCCACTGCACCCCAGCCTGGGCAAGAAAGCAAGACTCAGTCTCAAAAAAAAAGAAAGGGTCTGCCTGCCTCTGTGCAGGTACAGAACTCCAGCTGGAACTCCGGCCCTCCTGCCTGCTCTCTGCCCTGCCTCTTTCACGGGTGCCTGGAGCCCAGCTCGGTAATGGCATGGGTGGTATATGACTTAGACATATCTCGCCACCCTGACGCCTTCAGTGTTTGCTGGAGCTGGAGATAGTGCTTGAGGTGGCCAAACAGCCAGGCTGACCAGCAATTAGTCCATGATGAGGTGGAGGCCCGCCCTGGGCAAACAAATCCCATGCAGCCTCCACACAGGCACCTACCTGGCAGAGGGGAAGTATGTGAGAGGCACAGTGTGGTGGTGAAGGGGTGAAGCAGGCTAGCTCCTCTCCCTGCCGCACACCCTGGCACCTCCTGGTCTGGCCCTCACAGACCAGATCTAAGGCACTGTGTGGCTCTGGCCAGGTCCCTCTTCCTTTTTGGGCTCAGCAAGGGGGTGGTAGTTCTGGGCTGCACTGGAAAAGCTCAGGAAGAGTTAACAGGGGTCAAAGGGAAGCAAGGAGGGGGACTAGTTTGTCAGGGTGGGCTTTGCTTGGTAGCAGACACTGTACCCTCCCACTGTAGCCTCCCTCAGGCCTCTCACTGCTGGCTCAATAGTAATCAGGTCTATGTCAGAGACATTGTGGCCAGCTGCCCCTTCAAGTGGAACTAGTATCATGTCAGCCAGGACTACACCAGGTGCTGGAGTTCTCGGTCCAAATCTAGGCTGAGCTCTTCACTGAAGCCTGTGGGACTGAGGCAAGTCACTTGGCCTTTCCTATCCCCAGTTTCCCACTTGACACATAAGGATGGTTAGGGCTAGAGAAGAGATGAGGTCTGAAGAGCACCAGGTAGGCCAGCAGCAAAGAAGGTGTTCACTCTGAGATCCTAGAATCAGGGACAGATCTAGGGTTTTGCCTGAGTGGGAAAGGTAGGTAGCCCAGACCCTAGGAAAGGGGCTCCTGGAGGACTTCCCAGCACCTAAGGAGTGACCCTTTCCCATTGCCCTGGTAAGAATTTGGCACAAGCTTGTTATTTTCATAGCTTTCCAGTCCAGTGCCCCCACCCAGGAGGGGGTAGTTTCAGTCCAAAGTTCTCCCTGTTATAAGGAGGCAGACTGGCCCAACCCAACTCGACTTCCTCATGCCCTCTCGGCCATCCCTCTTAGGTTCCCTCCCAGGCCTGGAACCCAAATGAAGGGGAGAAACAACCACTTCTGACCTCCAACCCCACCCTACTTCCCTCCTTTCCAGAGGCCTTCTGAGTTGGTGGCCCCACAGGAATCTGAGGTCAGTTTAGGCAAGATGGGTCCCTCTCCCCAAAGATACATGAAGAGTCCAGTTGGCAACATTGCAACTGGTTTATGCATTTTGAAGTGCCTTCTACACATCTGCCCAGGCTCTGCTGATTTCACTTCTTCCCAGGCTATAAAATGCCTTTCTCTCATCCCCCAGTAGTGCACTGGGATCACGAAGAGCCCCCACTTGCCCTAGGGGACATATCAAGCGTTTCATAGATTGGGGGAATGGGCAAGACTGGCTACCTTAGAGGCTCTGGAATGCGCCCCACCCACCCATCCACCAATGGAAGGAAAGACAGGCACTACCTAAAAGGAGTGATCCCTATCTAGCCCCCAGTCTGGAGCAGAAAGGGCAGGTCCACTCTGGGCCAAGTGACATTGTTAGATACTGTCCCCTCCCCACGTCGCTGCTTCTTGCCAGAGTGCCTCTTCCAAGTTCCCATGTGGTAGCAGTAGTGGCAGAGGCAGAAGTGGACTTATTGCAGATTGCAGTACAGATACATGGACACAATCATGGCAGCCAGCTGGAGAGGGAGGAACAGGGAGAGATGAGGGGACATGATGGGGATCCTGAAGCATTGGCCCCCTGTCCAATGGACAGCCTATCTGAGGCCCAGTTAGAAGTCTGTTTCCTCCAGAGAGGCCTCCGATGGATTGAGCAGCCCTGGTCTTGTGGCTATATCCCAGTCCCAGCCTCCTCATCTACTTACCTCTAGGCCCCCAATTCCGGCTGCCACACCACCCACGGTGACCGCATTAGTTTGGATGTCATGCAGAAGCTGATTGAAGCAACCCTTCAGGAAGAGAAAACAGCATTTATAGTTGGCAGCTGCTCTATAGCCATCCCCATTTGCCACTCTGAGACCATGAAAACAGTCCCCACCCACCCGTGCCACACACCTGTACTGCTTGGTTCTTAGCTTTTTCTTCAGTGCAGGTTTCATTGGCTGTGTTGGTGATGTCATTGCAACAGAATGGGGGAAAGGTATTGTTCTTTTTGACGTAGGGTGAACCCTCAAAATCCGTGTAGTTGGTAAAGCCACAGCACTTGAGCTGGAGACAAGATGGGGGTGGAGGTTGGGGCCTTGCTTCTTTCTCTCCACTCCAAAACCTTCCCAGCCAACCTTACCCCTTCCATGGTGCTGTCCCACACTTGAGTGAAATCCTTCTGGGAGCCATAGTCTTTCTTGATCGCAGGCACTACCAGCAAGGTCAGGAAGTGATCAGCCTGGGTGAGGCAGGCCAGTGTTTAGGGGCTGGTAGAGAAGGGGGCCATTCACAGGCCACAGCCCACTCCCAGGGTTTTGCCCAACATGCTTCCCTTCCTCCATCCCAGTGCCTCACCATTGAGGTGTACACCAAGGCGACCACAGCAGCTGCAACCTCAGCAATAAAGATGAGGAGGAGGATGAAGAAGAACTGAGTGGGGAAGAGGGGTCTGGGTTTTAGGGAGAGAGTCCCTCATGCCCTCCTTGTCCTAATCCACCCCCAGAAAAGTGAGACAGAGGCCTTGGCATAGGGGGGTCCAAAGCAGGCTTTGGGAATCCCAGGGCCTGGTGTCAAGGGTGAGGGGATGCTTGGTCATGGGCTTGTGGAGCTGGGTTTGACACACCATCATGAGGGCACACTTGCTCTCAGACTGAGCACCGTAGCAGCCCAGGAAACCAAGAGCAAAGACCACAGCGCCGGCTGCAATGAGGAAGTAGCCCACGTTGACAAACTGCATGGCACTGGACGACAACGGCCCGAAGATCTTCAGGAAGGATGGCCCGTCGATTGACACCCAGATGCCCACTGCCAACAGGGCCACACCACATAGCTGGGGGGAGAGAGATCAGACAGGCCTTAAACAGTGCTGCCAAGTAGCTTACTACCACACAGTTGAATAAGAAGGATGGGAGCCGAAAAACTTCCCTCTTTATTGGCTAGAGAGTCTAAAAACTCATCCTGTAAGGAGGGAAACATCCTCTAGAGCCCAGAAAAATGGGAGCTGGGATACGCACAGCTGGGACCAGGCTGCACACCTGGGCAGATATAAAGGAGATCAGAGGTTCTAAGACTTTCCCTTACTGCTGCCAGGGTCCTGTCACATAGCTAGGATTGAAAATAGGCAGATGAGGGTCCAGCCTCCTATTTCCTTTCTGGGCGATGGGTGCCTACGGACACCTCTATCCTCTGATAGGTGGAGACAGGGGGGTGGTATCAGAACAGACTCAACAGTCACCATAGTAATGGAGGTGGGGCTGAGGTTTCACCTGCTGGTAACCTTGGAGAGGGTGGAGGTTGAGAAGGTTCATCCACCTCAGGCCCCATTTGGCTCCCTTCCAGAATCCAACTCCAAGCCTGCCCTTCGTCCAGACAAGACCTCCTTGCCTCACAAGAGGAAAGTGAGGCACGGGGTGGAGGGGGGCGGAATATAGCCAGAGCTGCTCTTAAAGGCTCTCTATCTCAACTCCAAACCTCAGCGGGAATCCTGAGTCCCAGATTGAGGGCCCTGTGCAGTTCCCACAGATCTTTGAGCAAAGCCTCCCAGCCCAGGGCTTCAGTGGATGAATCAGCCTGACACCACCTTGGTGCCTAGTACTCACTTTCCAGCTGTAAAAACTGAGGCTAGAACCAGAAGTGAGGTGGCAGATTGCGGCTGGATTCCAGGCATGTTTGCCCAAGGACAGAAAGCTGGACTTCTAGCCTGCAGGGTCAAATTTCAAGGAGCTGGAGGTCTGCCCTATCCTGCTCTGCCCAGCCTGGCAAGGTCTGGGTAACAGAGGCCAGAAATCAAACCGGATTTGCCTTTAACCCTCTCAGGGCAGAGCCTCTGCTCTCCAAATCCCTGGATAACTATTGCTTCCTCCAGATACATGGATAAAGACTAGCTCAGGACTGGCATGGTGGCTCATGCCTGTCCAGCCCAAGGTGGGAGAATCACTTGAGCCCAGGAATTTGAGACCAGTTTGGGCAACATAGTGAGACTGCCTCTACAAATAAATTTATTTAAAATGAGCTGAGCATGGTGGCATACCCCTGTAGTCCCAGCTACTCAGGAGGCTGACTAAGGTGGGAGAATCCCTTGAGCCCAGGAGGTTGAGGCTACAGTAGGCCACGATCAGGCCACTGCACTCCTGCCTGGGTGACAGAGCAAGATCCTGTCTCAAAAACAAACAAACAACAACAAGAAAAAACCCAGTTCCTGCAGCTAAAGGAAGCCCAAGGCATAGACCACATTAGAACTACAGAGTTTACTCACGCTTCTAAACTAGTCTGTATATGAACTCTGTAGCCCAGGCTGGAGTGCAGTGGTGTGATCTCGGCTCACTGCAACCGCCACCTCCTGGGTACAAGCGATTCTCCAGCCTCAGCCTCCCCAGCAGCTGGGATTACAGGCATGCACCACTACACCTGGCTAATTTTTGTATTTTTAGTAGAGACAGGGTTTTACCATGTTGTCCAGGCTGGTCTCAAATTCCTAAGCTCAAGTAATCTGCCTGCCTCGGCTTCCCAGAATGCTGGGATTACAGTCGTGAGCCACCGCGCCTGGCCCACTTCCTCACTTTTACTTACACTAACCCACTCTAATGTGGCTCAGGCCTCTGGTGACATCCTGTGCTAAATCCAGTGGACATTTCATGGACCATATTCTCCTTGACCTCTCTGATAACTTGCTCTCCTTGTTTTCCTCTTCCCCTCCCACTGCTCCTTCTCCATCTCCTTCACAGTGGCTTGTTTTTTTTCGTATCCCTAGTTAGTTGGGTTTCCCAGAGTTCACTTTCCAAACGCTCTCATCCACTCCCATGGCTTCAGTGCCCACCTGTGCACATATGATTTTCAAATACCCATGGCCAGCTCCAATCTAAGCTGCACCTCCACTGGGTACACAGCTGCCAGTGGGACACCCCCTCCCACAAACCGGGCCCCACCCCCTGCCATCCAGGTTGCTCATGCCAGAGATAAGAGCGTCATCTCCAAGATCTCTGCCTCCTTTGCCCCTTCTCTGCCCCTCAGCCATCATCCTAGAGCTTTGTCCTTTGTCCACTTTGTCTGTTTCTCCCTATCTCCACCACCATCTCCAGGATTTACACCTCACTGCTCAGCTTCTCAAACATGCTCTATGCAATCTGTTTCTGGTTTTCTGAACAATATCGAGTTTCATTACTTCTGGCCTTTTACTCATGCTTTACAACTCCCCCATCGAGTGCAATTTCCCAGCTTCAGCTACTTCCTCCAGGAAGTATTCTCCAACAAAGCTGAGTTCAGGCTCCCATAGCCTCCGTTGTAAGCCCAAACACACTGTGTTGTTATTATCTGCCTATCTGGTTTACTGGAGCTGAGATCGCTAGGGGCAGAGAAAGGCTTTGTTTCCTTGCCACCCCAGCACCCAGCACGGAATCTTAGACAATGAATATTTGTCAAATGAATAAGGGCTGCTTGAGATAGACCCTTTGCTCTGATGAGATGTAGGCCCTCTCTCCTTTCAGCCCCGCGTCATATAGAGGAATTTTCTCTGTACTGAATTTCCTTCTGCACTAGGTGAACTTGGGCAGACCCCTTCTATTTTCTGGGCCCCCAATGCCTATAAAAGGGGGAGAATCATTCCTGGTAGCTTACTCTGCCCTGCCTGAAGCCTGGGCTAAAGCTTTGTGGGAGAGAGGAAGTGTCCCAAGCTTCTCCATCCCCTTTCTCACATACACCCCTGCATGGCAGCCTGGCTGCTGCTGGGACCAGGGATCAACAGCATTTGGGGAGACCTCTGCATCCCACTCATAAGGGGACACTTGTAGGACAAAGCCTGGGCACAGCAGTCTCCCATTCCCCAGCTTAGTCTCTGCTCAGGTTGTGACCTGCCCCAAAGAGCTCACAACTTCCATACTTACAAAGATGAGCAAATTGAAGAGGATCATCATGGTCTTAATGAAGCTGAAGCACTGCATGGTGGCTCCTGGGAGGCAGACATGTATGAGTTAGGGCCTTGTTTCCCCTGGCCCCACCTGGGCTGGCCCTGGCCTTAGATATTGAGTCAGATGTGCCAGACCCCAGGATCCTGAACCCATGTCTCACCAAGCTTCTCCTATACCTGGTCAGACACCTCAGGCCTTTTCCCAGTTTCTATCCTAACACCCTTACCCCTCTATACTACCCAGGACCTCTACCAGCACCCGACACTCTGAGATCCTAACACCATAGATTCCTCCACCTGCATACCCAGTCTGACTCCCACGCGCAGGTCACTCCACGCCCTTTCCTGGCACCTGTATATCCTGCGCTCCTTCCCACACCAACCCCAGACCCTCCCCAGACCCTCACTATAGCTCTTCCAGCTCCCCAAACCTGTTTCCAGATTGATATCTCTTCACAGGATCATCTCTATCCCTATCCCATCACCTGTTCAGGGCTCTTGGCAGCAAGTTCTGAAAGAGGGAACTGCTGAGGCTCCACAAAGGACAGAACAGCTCCAGGGAGTTGCCACTGAGTGGGCAGGCAGAGGGACGGCTGGCTGGCACACACCGCTGCTCACCTGCAGGCAGGGTAGGCGCTTTAAAGCCTCCTTCTGCCCGCCTGCCGGCCCCACCCATGGCCAGTTAGCCTCCCCTTGTCCCTGCTGCCCCCTGCTGCCTGGAGACCGATCCCCACAACCACAGCCTCAGCAGGCCTCCGCCTGGCAACACCAGCCCTGGGCAACACCACTCCTGATCTCAAGAAGCAGCAGCCCACGGGTGGGGCAAGTGGTTCCCCAGAGTGCCTGTGTGCCCTCCACCACAACAGTACAATATGCTTCTTACCCTGTATCTGCTGATACACTCATAGGTACCCTCTGTGCTCATGCTCACACGCACACACGTCTGCCTATACTGCCGTCCATATGTTCACACAGCAAGCACCCAGTTACATGCATAAACACGTACTAGTGCTCCTGAATGCACTCGTGTGTGTGTGTGTGTGTGTGTGAGCGTGCTCTCTCTCACATATACATACACTCAATTCTTTGTGAACCGACTCCCAGCAACTAACAAACAACAGAATAATGTCTGAGGTACAAGCTTTAGTCTCCCTCCCTCTCTCTCTCTCTCTCTCTCTCCCTCTCATACATGCACATGCTCTCTCTTTCTCACTTTCAAGGAAATGACCAAGATTTGGCACTTCTGCTCTTTCTGAATAGCAAATAGTTCCTAATCCTCTTCCCTCCACAAATCCTCACATTCCTCATCTTTCCCCTCCCTTCATCTTTCCATCTCCTCTCCCTCCCTAACTTCTTTTTCTCCTTCCCAAGTCTTCTCTTAGCTCTCTGTGTACCCCCCTTTCCTTTCTGCCAGTAGGTGGCACCATGGTCCCATGAAGGTGCCACCCCCAGTTCCAAGGCCCGGTGATTCCAACTTTATTACTAGTGGGGCTGCCTGACCGCTGGGGAAAGTTCTGGCTTCCGGGTCACTCAGACACTTGATTTTTAAACTTCTGTTTCCTGGTCTTCTGTGTAACAGAATAGTTATGGGCTTTTCAAGTGAGATTTTCTTCCTGCTCTGTAAGGAAGGGACATAAGGGAATGAGCACACAGCAAGGTCAGAGAGGAGACAGTCACAGGCAGAGGGGCTATGAGATGGAGGAAACTGATTTTATTTTTTTTGAGACAGGGTCTTGCTCTGTTGCACAGGTTGGAGTGTAGTGGCACTATCACGGCTCACTGCAGCCTTGACCCCCTGGGCTCAAATGATCTTCCCACCTCAGCCTCCCAAGTAGCTGGGACCACATGTATTTGCCACCACACCCCAATTTTTTTTTTTCTTTTTTTTTTTTTTTGCTGTGCTGTCCAGGCCTGTCTTGAACTGGGCTCAAGTGATCCTCTTGCCTCAGCCTCCCAAATTGCTGAGATTACAGGCATCAGTCACTCGGCCCAGCTGAGGGAGTGGATTTCTAATTTTTTTTTTTTTTTTTTATAGTGGAAGGAGGCAGCTCAAGAGACAGAGAGAGAGGGGCTAATAGTATTACAGACTATACTAATAATGCTGATCATATTTTAAATGTATTGCATATATTAAGGCTCTTTTCCTCTTCACAACCATCCTACGAGATAGACTTTCTTATCTCCATTTTAAATATGGGGAAACAGAAGCACCAAAGGGTCAGGTACTTGCCATGATCACACAGCTTGTAAGTGGAAGAGCCAGGATTCAATCCCAGTCAATCTGGCACCAGAGTCCACATCTTAGCCACCAAGCAGACAATCTGCATTGATGGAATCTCTGAGGAAGCAGGCTAGGCTGGCTTCCATAAAGAGCAAGGGGAGAGGCCTTGGTCTGACCTGAGGAAGAGGAGGGGCAGGGGCAGGTGTGTTTATAGTTACAATTGCTAGAAGTTGATCGAAGCAAGGTCATATTCTGAGACTGAAAAAGGCAAGAGTAGAAGCTAGAGGAGGGGATGGGAAAAAGTTGAGATTTGTGAGGGTGGTACTAAGGGTCCCACAGAGTCCTGCGGGAAGGAGGATGAAGCTGCAAAGGGGGCCTTTGAAGGGCAGAGTGAGAGGGAAAGAAAGAGGGGACTGAGGAGTGGAAGGAGAAGGAACAGGTCTATTTTTTTTTGTCTGTCACCCAGGCTGGAGTGCAGTGGTGCCATCTTGGTTCACTGCAATCTCTGCCTCCCAGGTTCAAGCGATTCTCCTGCCTCAGCCTCCCAAGTAGCTGGGATTACAGGTGCACACCACTACACCTGGCCAATTTTTGTATTTTTAGTAGAGACAGGGTTTCACCATGTTGGCCAGGCTGGTCTCGAACTCATGACCTCAAGTGATCCACCTGCCTTGGCCTCCCAAAGTGCGGGGATTACAGGCGTGAGCCACCACATCCGACAGCTTTCTCTTTCATTCTCAGGAAGAATCAGGACCAGATTACATTCATCTATGGCCCAGGTGCTCAGCATATATGAAGTTGTTAGTGAACATTTCCTGAATGAATGAGTGCAGGATAATGAGAGTTAAGTGCTCTGGGCTTTGGTTCTTCATCATCATGGATTTCCTTCCTGCCTGTCTATAATTGTGTGACTTCACTTTACTGAGCCTCAGTTTCCTTATACAGTGGATCCTCATTATTCGCAGATTCCATACATGTGAATTCGCCTGCTTACAGAAATTTATTTGTAACTCCTAAACCAATACTTGTGGTACTTTTGCAGTCATTCGTGGACATGAGCAGAGAGGCAGAAAATTTCAGCCATCCAACACACATATTTCCACTGAGGTCTGTTGAACAATAGGACTCTCTGTCTTCTTATTTCAGCTTTCAGAGGGTAAACAAATGTGCTTTTGGTGGTCTATTTAGTGCACATATTCTCACATTTTTTGGTGTTTTTTGTTGGTGATTTTACGGTCTAAAATCGTCCCCAGTTGTAATGCTGAAGTGCTCCCTAGTGTTTCTAAGTGCAAGAAGGCTGTGATGAGCCTTATGGGGAAGTACATGCATTAGAAAAGTTTCATTCAGGCACAAGTTATAATGCTGTTGGCCATGAGTTCCATGTCAGTGACTCAAATATATATATATACACACACACATATACATATATTAGTGTGTATATCGTATCTATATATAGTTTTTGTTTGTTTGTTTTGAGACAGTTTCACTCTTGTTGCCCAGGCTGGACTGCAATGGCATGATCTGGACTCACTGCAATCTACACCTCCTGGGTTCAAGCTGTTCTCCTGACTCAGCCTCTGGAGTAGCTGGGACTACAGGCACCCACCACCACACCTGGATAATTTTTGTATTTTTAGTAGAGATGGGGTTTTGCCATGTTGACCAGGCTGGTCTTGAACTCCTGATGTCAGGTGATCCACCCTCATCAGCCTCCCAAAGTACTGGGTTAACTGGCATGAGCCATCATGGCTCAGCCAACTATATGTATTAAATATGGTGTCTCCACACATAAAATTAAGTTACGTATTGACAGGTTGACAAAAATATTGTGACCAGAGAGTTTTAGGCGCCTAACCTTGCATTTACCCATTGTTCAGTATTTAGTGTTTGTGGTGACTTTATAGAACGTTACTGGGAATAATGAGAATTGACAATATAAATAGTTATAATCATGGCATCTCCTTGTAGAGTAGCTGTGAGATTAAATGAGATAATGTTGGTAAAGTCCTCAGCACGGTGTCTGGCACATAGTAAGTGCTCAGAAAACATTGTTAATATTGTTAATATGGGTAAGTGAGAAAGTGAGGAAGTGAGTTCCCCCTCTCAAAGCCCCTTTTCTTAAGGGTCCAAACTGAAGCTGCCTGGCTCTCGGGCTGGCTCTTAGGCCAGACCCAATGGAGAAGACGTGAGGGAGCCTGACCCATGAGGAGGGGCCAGGGGCCATGACCTGTAATAAAGAGCCCTGCCCTTATGCAGACTTTGTATGTCATAGAGGCCTCAGCTACCCTGGCCAACAGTACACCCCCAGGCACACTGCAGAAGCTCCCTGTGCCCATGGGGCCATCTCGGTTTGTCCATGGCCCTCGGCCCCAGGGCATGCGTTCCCCCTACCGCAGGCCAGGTATGGGCTGGCCCAGGCCCCGGTTTCCAAGGATGTTCAAGTGTAGCCACAGAAGATACCAGCAGAGTCTCCGAGGTCGAACTGCCACCAGTGCAGCCACCAATCTTGCCACCATGGCCATGGGTATCAACAACACCCACACTGCCACCACTGGAGTGTGGATCTTCCCACCTCAAGGTTAGCTGTGGGGCTTGTGAGCCAGGGTGGGGTATCAAAAAACAGAGCCACTGAAGATTTCCCTACCTGGTTCTGTTTAGGCACTCCAAAGGAAGAGCCCTGTGAAATACCACCCTAAATGTATGATGGACTCTTGATGGCAGGCATCCCAAAGTGCTGACAGCCTTAATGAAGGATGGATTGGCTGGAAGCAGAGGGTTTGGGGAGGAGGTGAATCCAAGGGGCAGGGAGCTTCCAGAACTGCTGCCTTCCTCACACTCTTCCCTCTCCTTCCTCTTCTCAGCTCTCAGACACCTCTGTCAACCTGGGATTTTTCTGATCCTCTAGAAGTGCCCAGAAGCTAACCCAGATGAAGCTTGGCTTGCCCTGGACCTGCATCTCCTAGGGGCCGTGGGTGGTGAACAACAAATACAATCACTCTGTGCAAACTGCCTTATTCCATGTGGAGGTGTTAACCAGCTGACTATGCAGGGTGTGAGGGGAGGGTTAGGGCTGAAGACTTACAGGGAAAGACTTCAGTGATCACAGCAGGGATCATAGCTAAGAAAGTAGGAGGACTGGACAAGGTCAGCAACATAGACCATCTTTGGTCTCAGCTCTTGATCTGCCCCATGAAATAGGGGTTCTCTTGCCTTACACTCCTAACTGCACAGGGAGAAGGGTCTTTGTAAACATCTTGGAAGGTATTGGGAGGCACAGATCAGAGAGGTATAGGATGAAAGACAGAACTCTGAAAATACACAAGTATGAGGTGGATGTGAGGCAGATGTGCCTCTGTGTGCCTGTGATAGTTAGCATGTAGGTGTAGCTGCTGGTGTGTGTGTCTGAGGCTGGGAGAATGGGATTATAAGCAGATGTGACTGAATGTGCCTTTGTGATTGAATGTGCCTCTGTGACTGACTGTGAGTATCAAGGAGCATTTGTGAGGGTATGGGTGTGCCAAAGAGAGGACATCAGCCCTAGGAAGAAAAATGAAGGTCAGGAGGGGGATGGGGAGCAGCCTGAAGGAGGAGAATGTGGAGAAGAGTGAGATTCTGAGAAAGGCATACTACCTTCAGCCCTCCAGCCATTCTCTGAGGTCAGTGTTTTCTAGAGCTGGCAGCTGAGCTGGGGTGCTTAGGGGTGAGGCAAGACTGTGTTTGAGCCCAGAAAGTAGAGAGGGTGCTAAGCTCTCTGGCCTGAGGATTTTCCATCTGGATTTTTGAGTGTGTGCTCATGTGTCACTGGCTGTAACTGGGTTTCTCTGGGGTTGTGTCTTAGTAGCTGGGAATATTGTGTGGGACTCCATCTCTCACATGCTACATAATGCATGGGTTACTGTGTGTTGCACCAGTCCAAGATCTGGCCCCATTTCCAGGCCTACCTTCCCAGAGGGCTGGGGAAGGGAGTGAACCCTGACACCTTTGATGGCCTGGCACCCTGGGGTTCAGGAAGTCTGGCTAATGTCCTTTGCTGCCTGTGAAAGCGAATTGTATCCATGTCTATCTACCCCAACGCTTGCCAGAGACCGGGACCCTGAGGGGAGGGATGAGGCAGAGAATTCACTGACACACCATGCCCAGACAGTGCTGGGCTCCTCAGGGTATGTGAAGGGGGTTGCTGAACATTAGCCAAAGCTGGAAGGTGGTTGGGCCAGTACTCGAGGGCCCAAGAGGGGCCATAAGTATAAAGATACAGGACACAGTTCACAAATGCATGCAGATATGTAAATATAAGTGAACTCATAAACACACACTGCAAAACACACACACGTATGCAAGCACATAGTATAAGCAGATATATGCAGACACAAATGCATAGATCCCCACATGACACATGTAGCAACACATACACATGCCTATAAATGAACACACACAGATGGAAACATGCATGCACCCAGACACAAGCATACAAGCCCCCAGACACAGACACATGCCTTCACACTCATGCAGATCCAGGCACACACAGACATATACACATGCAGACACACTCACCAGACTTCCCAGCCCCTGTGGCCCTGGGACCCAGAAGCCTCCCTCCCCTATATGTTATATGAGTGCAGTGTGTGTATGTGCATGCACGCATGCCCACACTTGTGTCTGTGTGTATCTGTGTCTGTGAGAGTGTGTGTTTGTGCTCGACTGTGTGTATGGTGAGGGTGCTAAGCTGTGGGAACCAAATGACATCATCTCTTCCAGCTATTTTTAGCTCTATCTGCAATGATGGCTCCTTTGCTGCCCCTCCCCCTTCAGGTTCCTAATTCTCCTCCCCATCTAGGCTCCCAGAGGCAGCAGCAGCCAGAGGGCACCCACCACCTCAGTTTAGGTGGCTCCAGGAGGACTGGGTGCAGCTCACTCTCTCCTGCCCAGCCAGAGGTCCCTGGAGGCTGACAACACAAGGCTCTCAGGCTGGAAGGGCCTGGGTTAGGTAAGCTGGCCTGGCTGGTCTCCAGCCCTTAGGATGCCTCTGTTTCTGCTTTTCAATCTGCAACTCTGTGTCAGTCAACAGTGCCTGCTGTGTACCAGGATGGTGCTAAATTCTGGAGACAGAGCAGTGAGCAAGGCAGTGGGAGTTCTTTCCCAGAGGAGTTATATAGCTCAGTGGGAGACACATTACACAGATTACACAAGCTCTTCATTAAATTGTGAGGAGGGCTCTGAGCACTGTTAACAGAGGCTCCTACTCTGAGATGTTCTCTGCCTCTCTCTGTTTTTCCATCTCCCATAGGTGGGATAACCTGAGGAAATCAGAAGGAATATACCCATTACCTTGTACCCTTCATCCTAATAATCATATCTCCAGAATTCCACAGAACAGTGCTTTTTTCTCACACCCTAGGCTGTGCTCCCAACATGGCACTAACCCACCATCCAACCAACTGGTGGCCTTTGCTATTCATATCTCCCTTTTCTTTATTTTTTTCTTTTCTTTTCTCTCTCTCTCTCTCTCTCTTTTTTTTTTTTAGACAGTCTCGTTTTGTTGCCCAGGATGGAGCAGTGTAACGATCTCGGTTCACTGCAACCTTCTTCTCCCAGGGTCATTTGCCATGTTGGCTAGGCTGGTCTCAAACTCCTGGCCTCAAGTGATCCAGCTACCTTAGCCTTCCAAAGTGCAGGGATTACCAGCATGAGCCACCCGGCTCAGCTCTCCCCACTGCCTTTTATTTAGGGACAAGGTCTTGCTCTGTCACTCATACTGGAGTCCAGCAGCCTGACCTTGGTTCACTGCAGCCTCAATCTCCTGGGCTCAATCTATCCTCCCACCTCAGTCTCACAAGCAGCTGGGACTCCAGGTCCAGGCCACCATGCCTGGATAATATAAAAGATTTCTTTTTTTTTGGTGGAAACAGGTTCTCCCTGCTACTCAGGAGGCTGAGACATGAGAAGTACTTGAAACTGGGAGGTGGAGGTTGCATTTGAGATCACACCACTGCACTCCAGCTCTTGGGCTCAAGTGATCCTCCCGCCTCAGCTTCCCAAAGTGTTGGGAATACAGACGTGAGGTGAGCTACTTTGCCCCCACGACCTTACTTTTCTTTGGAATCTTCTTGTGGTTAACCCCTGGGAGGCAGGCCATTGTTCCCCATCTATAGATGAGAAAAACTGAGGCTCAGAGATGGGCAGCTCTGGATCACACCTCACAGTTCCTGGGGAGCAGCCCAGGGGAGATAGCAGGCAGGTGGAGAAGGAAATGGTGACACACTGGGGCAGTTGGCACAGGTGCAGGAGGAGAAGGCCAGGCCAAGGAATCAGGAGGTGAGGGGGAGGAGGACATGAGCTGTGAGTTAGTGCCAGGAGGAGGGCTTCCCGCTCCAGCCAGCCTCAGGCAGCCACTGGAAAATCTGGTTTGGCAGCTTCAGCCGTGTGCTGTGCTGCAGGACTGAAAGAAAGAGGCAGCCTAGCGCGGGGGCCCTTCCTCTAGCCCTGGGTTTCACCAACTGTCTATTGTGGGAGCATTTTATAATTCTGGGACCCTTTGGATTATGAAGAGAATAGCTTTGGACAGGAGCCCGAGCTTCAGTCACTGTTCTGCCCCAAGCCCTGGTGTGATCCTTGGAATGTCCTGGCGCCTCTCTTGGACTCTGCAGCCCTGCTGTTGAGTCAGGTTCCTCAGACCCCAACTCCTGTCCTCCAGATTTTCCTGGGAGTCTGTTCAGGCACAGGAACACAGAGTCAATGGGTAAGGACGGAAACAACCAGACAGTCCCTGGGGCGCCAGGCTAGAGGTCCCTTGTCACTAATAGGTCAATGGCCGGAAGCCCAGCTCCAACCCCACAATGCAATACCGGTCACCCCACCCTTACTAGTGCCCTCACCCACACCCCCACTTCCGGCCTCTGTTCCTTCCTCACCTCTGGGGAAGGCTGCAGGGCTCCCCAGGGAATTTCCCCTGGCTCCTCCACTGGCTCTCTGCCCAGTGCTTAACCCTCTCTCCCCCACCTACGCATCAGGCAGGTCAGTCTCCCACAAAACTTTCTCTCCCTGGATCCTGGGGCAGGGCAAAGAGGGAAGGAAGTTGGGTGGAAGGACTGCGAAGGAGACTGCTTTTCCTGCTACCCTCAGGTACTGAAACCCAAGTAAGGATTTTCAGGAAAGAGGGAGTGGACTGAGTGCTGGGCCCTAGGATTGAGCTTCCCTGGGCACTATCCCACCCACTGAGCCTTGGGAGGGGTGGGAATGATTTTCCTCTGCACCAGCGTGCCCAGAGAAGAGAGCCTGGAACTGAGACTTGCAACTTCTAAAAAATAAACACAAAACCAAGGCCAAGAGAGTGCTGGCTACTGTTACCATGCGTACAACAAAATTCATTAAACACAATTTTTAAAAATCATGAAATTCTAGATTCATAGAGTTCACAGTTATGGAATCTTAGCATCACAGAATTCCAGCATGGTAAAATATGGGTTACAGAAACTTACAAATTCAGAATTGTGGCATTACTGACTCCCAGATGACAAAATTAGAGTATCCTTGAAATGGACAGCTTGAGAAATCAATTAATAAAGCCCCTACATTCAGGTGGCTGTCTAAACTAGACGATGTCCTACTGGAGATGGGCAAAGGTGTTCACATATGAACTCTGAAGGGAGGTAGGGAGCCTGGGACATATGAGCTTAAACCAGAGAGAAGACAGGCTTTGTCCATGAGAACACATTTCTGCTTCCTGAAGATGAGGGACAGGGGGCAGGAGGCAGCAGGTGGGGATAGAGAGAGCAGAACTATACAAACAAAGAACATATAACCTAAAAAAAGAATTATCAAGTAGCACAATATGCTGACCCCAGCACCTCCAGTTTCCCCATAATTGGGGTTACCATCAGCCCAGGACATTTCCAAAGGTCAGCAAGACTCCTTATCACATTGGAATGGCAACAACCCATGTCTGGCTATCTTTTTTGGGAAGAAAGGTACTGAACAGAAAATACTCCATACTTTTTACGGGGTGGCTGGGAGGAACAGACTGTCTTCAAAGAAGGTGCTGAGCCCTTAGCCACATGATGCACACCAAAGCCACTCCATGTGGTGGGGTTCAGAGCCCCCAGCAAGGCCCCAATAGAGGACCCTGTGAGGAGCACCTGGGTGGGGTGTTGCCTAGGGGAGCTGATCATCTCTATAGAGGGAGCCAATCTGGAGGCAACATTTATATGGGGACCCCTGTCCAATCTTTGGGGCTGGTTATTCAGCAAACAACAAAGATATTTACCTAGCATTTTTGGGAAACTATCACAAACTCAGGAACCCAGAAAGAGCAGTTCCAAAGACAGGCAAATGCCAGGCCCTGCTGGGCATGGAAAATGGGGCAATGTCAGCTGAAGATCTTCTTGTTCAGCTGTCTGTCCTTGGATTC